TTTGTTTTTAAAAATATATGTTGTTTATTGTGTGGGTGTAAATGTGCTTTGGTCAATTTCTATTATTATGTAAATTATATGCAAATTATATGCAACCTAGGCCGCCACAGTGGTTTAAATTCCTGGTGAGAACACTGTACTAGTACCATATTTTCTCTAATGAAAGTACACCTTCAACACAGTTTACCATTACAAACCTATTATTGCTATTTGTAAAGCAAAGCAATCACTATGGCGATACAGCTGGTTGTGTTGCATTTCATTTATAGTATTTTAGCTGGATTTTCTTTTTCTGATATTATTTTGGATGTTGCGCTAACTCAAAGAAATATGTATATTCTGGTGTCTTTGGTTTTGATAATTGCAAAAACCAGAGAAAGTGATGTGCACAGCATTATATTATTTTCTGTATTTGTGTAACCATAGATACTGAAAGAATGATGGAATCAAAGTTTACACAAAATAAAAATGATTTTGTGAACTAGCAAGCAGTAGATGCACATTGTTGTACAGTATGTTATACCAGTGTTTATCTCCATCAAAACAGGACCCTGGTTGTCCAAAAATAACTCATTCTGTTGGTGATGACGCCAATCCAATTAATCCAACAAGTCTGCCCTTTTGTATGCAAGGAATTATAAAATTCAACCCCAAATAAATTATTCTCAACTAAAAATAATACATTTGATTTTAGTCCCTTAAATCATGCAAATATCTAATTCGTTGTACTTAGCAATTACTGGAGGATATTGTTCTGTTACACTTGCTGCAACTTGTTACATTCATGTGTACTGTTAATTGGGTTAATTTAATTTAAATATTATTGTCAGTTTTTTTGTTTGTTTTTTTACAAATAATAGAAGCCTGTGTTACATTGATATTAATAAAATTTAGTAAACACACCACATTTTGCTTCTTTTGGACCAGATAAATATTAAAATGCACATTTTCAGTGATATATCATTATACACGCATTATAAGCACGACCTCTCGGCCATCACATCACATGCTGGTAGAATTCAATGGAGAAACACTATAAAATAAAAGTATAATAGAGAGTGACTCACCCGAGCAGCTTCCTCGTGTGTTATCCTTTCAAAGGATATATCGTTAGCTCGTAGTATCTGATCGCCGGGTTGCAGCCCAATGCGTTCTGCCGTACTGTACGACTCGACGAGCGAAATGAAAATACCGACGCCGTGTTCACAACCTCCCCGTATACTGAACCCTAATCCATCCTCGGGGGGAGGGGACTTTTTCAAAATAACTTTCCGGACGTCCTTGTACGCATCAGCGGGAAATGTTTGTCCGGACGATTTTTTTACTGTTTTACCGTGTGGTTCTGTTGTTCTCTTGTTGGCGTTTCGACCTCTCGGCGGCAAACTCGATGATCTATTTATGCTGCCAGGACGGGGGAAGAGCCCGTCTGTGTGCCGCCAGTAAAGCCGCTGATCGGTCGTAGGAATGACCTGCCCCAGCATATAAAACAGATAACGTTTTTCTGGTGTGTCTAAAATAACTCGCAGAGCCTGGACTAAGTCATACACATTCCGCCGAGCATGGTAGTCGTTCAGTGCATGCACAAAATATGCCCGATCTCCTTCATTGAGTAAGTTGTTGAGAGCATCGTGAAGACGGCGAACGTTAGTGGAAAGGGTTCGCCTACCAATTGGTGTCGGTGACGGTGAAGGATCTCTCCATGATCGACCGCTGTATGTGCTCCGTGGCAGAGTCGACATGTTTATTCCTCCTGTACACCCACCTGTGATGAAAACACGGAAAGGAAGCCCTTGCGGTACTTCACTTTTATATCACCCGACAGCAAAAGTAATCCAGAGCAAAGGCACAATCAAAACGTCGGGTCATTTTACGGCGAAAATCGCGATCGCAGAAAAAAATATTCGTGCCACTCGCACTTTCACAACGAAAACACATCGCGTTCTATGAATCTACGCAGGATGATTACGCAGTCGTCTGGCTAAATGAAAAGCGGACCGCTGATTGGTCAATTGATTGATTGAGTGGCAACTGAAAATATCCGGCAGACTGTTGCCTCCGTGCAATTTCTGTATCGGCGGCTACACTTCACAGTACATACTAGTAAACGAATTCTACTCGTTTTATTTTAATTCTGTTTTTCTAAATAAATCGCTTGAGCGAAATACAGCGGACTCAAACTAAACATGATTCCCTGTTGTCCCTATTCTCTTGTCTCAACGTAAATCGAGGTGAGCTTATTTAGACACAGAGGGCGCTCTTTAAACAAAAGATAACATTTTCAAATCACAATGGAGAATACTGCTGTAGTCGCGCTCTTTACGGGTCTATACATTTCAATGTTCAGACCTAGTTTCGTTCAAATAGTACGCTATTTAGGGTGTATCATACTTTCGATTCAAATTTAAGTTTAAGATTAATTATATGTTTAATGTTTAACAGCAAATTGGTAAACCACAAACTCTCTATTGTAAAAAATATATTACTTTGATCGTTGTTTTAAAATTATTGCATTTTTTGTTACTAATCCATACCCGGCTAATCCCCAAACAAAGGCTTTTTTGAAAAATATACAATAACTTTATTTAGTCCGAGTAATCATAGTAATATTGCATTTTTTTTGTTTCATGCAATATGGAGCCAAAATTACCGCTGTCGTACCAAATAAACGATTATGTGGTGACATGTTTTGATATTCAAACACGCATATGTAGTTAGTCATTTGGAAAATGAATGTTTGGTCGACCATCATTTGCAACTACGATGATAACTTTCCGTTTTCGAAATTGTGCAATTCTTTTGTTTAAAACAAAGAAAACAACTGATTTTGACTACTTCATTCAAAAACACCGTAACTCCAATGTTCAATCAGCCAAAAGAAACCTCTCGTTCAGATGGGAAATTCAGATGTGTTGCGCTAACGTGTGGATTGTTGTCACATGGTATTAGAAATATTCTAAAATCAAGGAAGGACCAATCAAAATTGACCATTGTTGAAGATACCCTCTGAAATGAAATTAATTCTAGAAAAAAGTTGAAGGGAAAAGTGTATCTTAATTAACATGATACCTTTTATCTAGTGCTGCCAACGTTTTCATACTGTTAACATATTTATTTTCATTGGCATGTAATTTCACTGTTTTTAATTTTTTGATGCTTTGAGCAATTTCGTTGGCAAAAAATTAAAGAGTTAATTTAGCAAATATTATATGTATAATTAATGCGTTTACAGTATGGAATACTGTGGCTACAGAGGGCGTTACTCTCAATACATTTGTATAATGTTTTACATTTCCCTTGGTGCAACAATCTTAGTATGCAACACGTGGCGTCGCCGACATAGACCATAAAATGTGAACAATCAATGTATCAGTGTATATACATTTAAATTTATATATTGAAAGCTTGGATATAGAAGAACAGAGACGAAGATATCTACTTACGGCGATATAGTAGTAAATGTATGAAGATAAAAGTAATCCTTCAGTAATAGCCGGAGGTACGACGTACCTGGCGATGACCTCTTCCCCGTATTGCCAAGTACAATAATAGTCTAGGATAAAATTACTATGAAAAGATATTGTGAAAACACAATGAAGAAGAAATGGAAAAACACAAAAAAGTGTGACATTAAGTATTCGTAAAATATATACAGCAATCCCTGAAGATGATTCTTTGAATTATTAAACGAGCTACTGTATCACTTCCGGCATTCTGCAATATTGGACCCATAGATGTTTATAAATTTTTACTAATGTAGAGACAAAGTTAAACTAAAGTGTGTGATCGCTATTCGCTGTCTCGATTTCCCTTTTCTTTTTTTTTTATTAATTATTTTCTGAACGTGGTATATTTTCATACCGGCATTTTTTAATTGGCAAGGAATGTGAATAAATACTATTTGTATAGAAATTTATTGGATTAATTAAGTCTCAAAAGTTATTCATTTCTTCTACAGAATGAGAATGAAAGAATTACCAGTACATTACTGGTCACGTATAGTTATTTGGAGCTACAGTTTATCCCAAGTTATTGTCGCTAGGATACAAGACGTTTGAATTACCCAACACTTTCAAGAAACGCAGGTTGTAAATTGATTGAAAAATGGTGGTATGTCTACACATCTAGAAGTGTCTAATTTTTGTTGAAGCATATCTTAATTTATTATTTTTCATATTGAAAATGTCTTGATATTTTTTTAGAAACAGTTTTGTAGAATTACAACTAATGTTTTACTCAATCAAATCAAATGTGTACTCAATATAGCGCTGTCATTATTCAATCATCGTGAGATGAACATTACAGGAATAAGGGAGATTCTACATTCCCATTCTACAAATCAGACATGTAGCACGTCGATTTCTGATGTTTAAAGCGCAGTGGTCGTCGCGCACCGCGTGTACGAATTTCATGTAAATAAACAATGTATTTTACACGCGTTGTATACGTCGCTATGAGTCCCATATCGAACAGGACGTTTCCCACTTTGAAGTTAGTTGCGAACAACTGCTACGTCTATGTACTTTTTTGTTAACGTATCAAGTATCAAAAAGACCTGCCATGAGAGCAGTGTTCTCCCCAAAGCGTTTTAGCGTAGCGGGGCCGCTACTCCATTATTTATGCCGCTACTCTGAGATATTGCCCGCTACTCTGTGGCATTTCCTGTTACTCTTTGTTTTAGCTTGTTAATACACGTGCGAATCTGTTAGTCAGCGTCATCAGCGTCCGGTACTGTGAGCCAAATCAGGTGTGAATGGAAACATGTCAGTGATTACGCAAAGACAATGGACTAATACAGCTTCGTACTTCGACAATAAACACTTTCGCCCTATTTAATTGGGGTAATAGCGAGTATTTTCTCAGTAGCATATTTGGCTGGAAGAAGCAACGATGTCAAACAGCAGAAATATTACGTTGTGGTTCCGCGTAGAACGCCCTGCTGGGCCCCTGGTTGCGAGCGATAAACCCACCAGCAACGCGGTCACCGGTACCCCTGTCGGCAGTGGTACTAAACGTGTCCAAGATGATGTTACAACGAAAAGTGCAAAAAAATAAACTCTAGATTTGATGCACAATGGACAACAAAATATACGTGGCTGAGAGAAACATCCGATGGCAAAGGTAAAAAAAGTATTTATTTGTAGCGTTTTACTT